TTTGGGTTGGAAGGGACCTTAAAGATCATCTGGTTCCAACCCCCTTGCCATCAGCAGGGACATCTTCCACCAGCCCAGGGTGCTCAGAGCTCCATCCAACCTGGCCTTGAACCCTGCCAGGGAGGGGGCAGCCACAGCTTCTCTGGGCAACCTGGGCCAGTGTTTCATCACCCTCATGGGGAAGAATTTCTTCCTCATATCTCATCTAAATCTGCCCTTTTGTAGTTTAGAGCCGTCCCCCCTTGTCCTATCACTGCACCCCCTTGTGAAAAGCCCCTCTCCATCCTTCCTGTCGGCCCCTTCACGCACTGGCAGCTGCTCTAAGGTCACCCTGGAGCCTTCTCTTCTCCAGGCTGAACAGCCCCAGCTCCCTCAGCCTGTCCTCGGAGGAGAGGTGCTCCAGCCCTCGGATCATCTTCGTGGCCCTCCTCTGGACCCGCTCCAACACATCCATGTCCTTCCTATGTTGGGGGCTCCAGAGCTGGATGCAGGACTCCAGGTGGGGGTCTCATGAGAGCAGAGTAAAGGGGCAGAACCCCCTCCCTCGCCCTGCTGGCCATGCTGCTCTGGATGCAGTCCAGGACACGGTTGGCTTTCTGGGCAGCCAGCGCACGTCGCCGGCTCACGTGGAGCTTCTCACCCACCGGTACCCCCAAGTCCTTCTCCTCAGGGCTGCTCTCAAGCCACTCTCCGCCCAGCCTGTACTCGTGTCTGGGATTGCCCCGACCCATGTGCAGGACCTTGCACTTGGCCTTGTTGCACTTCATGTGGTTCACTCAGGCCCACCTCTCCAGCCTGTCAAGGTCCCTCTGGATGGCGTCCCTTCCCTCCAGAGTGTCAACCCCACCACACAGCTTGGTGTCGTCAGCAGACTTGCTGAGGGTGCCCTAAGTCCCACTGTCCATGTCGCTGACAAAGATATTGAACAGCACTGGCCCCAGGACCGACCCCTGAGGCACACCACTCATCACTGGTCTCCACCTGGGCATCGAGCCGTTGACTGCAACTCTTTGTGTGCGTCCATCTGAACATTCGAGGTGAGAGAGGATGAGAGGAAACGGCCTCAAGTCGCACCAGGGGAGGTTGAGACTGGATGTTAGGGAGAATTTCTGCACGGAAAGGGCTGTCAAGCACTGGCACAGGCTGCCCAGGGCAGGGGTTGAGTCACCACCCAGCACCTCGATGTCTTCCTCGTAGCGAGGGGCCCAACACTGAACCCAGCATTCGCGGTGCAAAAATCGCTGCCCTGGTCCTGCTGGCAACGCTCTTTCTGCAGGAGCTGAGATGCTCTTGGCCATCTTGGCCATGCTGCTGTGTGACACAGCGCGGTATCTACAGCGGCCCACCGGTGCCCTTTGGATCCTTGAAGTATCTTCACTTCCTTGGAGTATCTGACTTTCAAGCCAGTGCCAAGGTTACGCAGAGCCTCCAGACCGGTCCCTTCCCCCCTCGTTTCCCACTGGGTTCCCCTCAGCTCCCAGCCCAGCAACTGGGATCCCTCCGCCACTCCAGAAATCCAGATGGGTCCTGTCCCCCCGTACCCCCACGCCATGAGGGGTCACTGCACACCGGTGTCCACCAGGACCTTGTATTTCCATGGGTCTGCTGCCCATCGAAGCCGTTTGTCCCTTTCCTCCGACGGCCGGGGCAGGACCCCAGGGCCTGATCTGGACCTTCGTTACCCGACTCCTGCAATGGCAAACCAGAAGCCTTCTCACCCCGAGAGGAGCCCGTGTCTCTCTCGCCCAGGCTACGCTGCAAGGAGCGGTCACAGGTACGATCCGGCTGCGGCCCGGCACGGTCTTTCCATGGGGCTGGGTGTGAGGTTGGAGCCCACTTGGCCCATACGTCCACTGGATCAGGATCAGGAGGAGGAGAGGTGTCCTCAGCCCATGTCCTGCGCCTGGGGAACTGCTCGACAGCGACCGGAGCAGCAATCATGGAACCATTGAATGGTTTGGGTTGGAAGGGACCTTAACGATCACCCAGTTCCAATCTTCCACTTCCAATCTCCATGGATGGTCCCTTTTCAGCCACAGTTTATCCCCACAATTCTTGTCCGTGGGCTTCCAGGACTGAAGTTGCTGCACCACCCCACTTCCTTGTGTCCTCCCCATTTCCACACAGACAGAACCCTACCAGGTGGCACGCGGTCTGCACCCACGGTCCCTGTTCTGTTGGGCAGGCTCCTGGCAGCCGAGATGCTGGCCTGTAGGCGCAAGGAGGGAGATTCGCCATCTTCTCTTCGAGGGGCCGGACCTTGGGGAACCATCTGTCCACAGCGGTGTCGCAGTCCTGTGGTGGGGACGGGGAACAGAGGTTCTCCTTGACTCGCTGGCAGACCAGTCCCTAGGCAGTTGGTGCCTCCATGTCTGCCCAGTCCACCACAGCTGGGTTACTGGCACACGTTGGTGTGCTCTGTACAAACATCCACCGTAAAGACCGTGTGCGCTGGACGCCATCCCGATCTTTGGGGGCCCGATTATTGTCCGGGTCACCACAGACCACCGTGAACACCCTCAGATACCAGGAACCTTCCCCTCTGGTAGACCACTTACCTCGCTGGGTTACAGGAGCTTCCTTAGGAGGACACTTGGCCTTCACGCTCGGGAAGAGCCTCCTCCAGAGGCTGAAGGTGGCTGCCCCTCTTCCGAGCCCTCAATCCCACAGTCCCCAGCAGCAGATACCAGCTCTGCAACTTCCCAACCTTCCAGTTCCAGCCTGTCCGCCCCGAGCAACCAGGGAGCAAACGTCTTCACCCAGCTGATGGAGGAGACCGTGCCCAGCATCTCGCAGCCCGGCCAGGGACAGGGACCCGGTTTTTTCTCCCTCTGCCGCCTCTCCTGGTTCAGTCACAGTGACCATTTGCGTGACCTCAAACCAGGAGACGTTCATCTTGGCACCCACCTAGATGGCCTCAGGGCAGGAGACCTTCCTCTCGGTGCCTGTTTCTATAGCCTTGTATCAGGACACCTTCTCAGTGCCCTTCTGCGTGGCCTCAGAGCAAGAGGCCTTCTTCTCAGTGTCAGTCTATACGTAGCCAGAGAGTAGAGGACCTTCTGGATGCCTGTCTCTGGCCTTCGAAGCAGGACACCTTCTTCTCTGCACCTATCACGTTAAAGGGGGGTAAGGGGAGTCTGATAAGTGGCAAAAGGAGAGCCCTCCCGTTGAGTCACGAGGTTCAGAGAAGACCCCGTTGCGTTCTAAACTCTCTCTCAGAGGAGCGTCTAGGTGCGGTTGGGTCAATCCTAGTCCCAGACTTGGTCAATGCTTTATGTCTAAAGGGTTAAGTGTGGAGCCACTTCTCAGATTCAGCTTCCCTGCCAGAGCCCCTCCAAGGACTTTCGCTGAAAAAGCTTCACAAAGTTGAAGCAACAGGAATTTATTCACGCGACAGGGATCACAGATTTGGAATTGCCGTTGATAAATTCACTGTCTACAAAATTTGAGCTCAAAGTAATAGTTTAGAGCTTTAGTTAGCAATGTGTTCCCGGGGGTACATCTGACAACGTCAGAGGCGCGACTCTTACCAAAAAACCGCCCCTTCTTGGGGGGGAAGAGAGGTTCAGGCCCGTCGACCCGTCCGTCCGGTGAAGTTCTCGCTTGGCTCCTCCTCCCAAAGAGAGTTTTCAAGCGCCAATTTTTATATGTTTGGAAAATCTTTTTGTGAGGTGGGACTAAGTCAATTCTTGCGTATCGATTGGCTGTTGGCCATGGGACATGGGACATGGCGTGACAGCCTTCGGAGCAGGCATCTGGGTCTGCGCATTGGGGGCCATCTGTGCTTTATCCAAAGCAATCTCTGAAGCAACCTCTGGCTGCGCAACCTCCGCGGGGCCCCACAGATCACTGGGTTGACAGTGATGGGCCGTCCCCCCTTACTTTGATAAGAGAAGCACCAGCTAATGACTCCCTTTGTTAGCTCCTGGGCTCTTGACACCTCAGTCCCAGTTTGTCTTTCGTCTTGCATTGACAAGTCCAGCAAGGCCATCGATTACAGCACGTCTGCGCGGCCTCAGGGCAGGTCTTCTCAGTGCCTGTCTGAAATGCCACAGAGCAGGAGACCTTCTCAGTGTCCATCTGCATGGCCTCAGACCAGGAGATCTTCTCAGTGCCCGCATGCGTGGCCTCAGACCAGGAGATCTTCTCAGTGCCCGTATGCATGGCCTCAGACCAGGAGATCTTTTCAGTGCCTGTATGCATGGCCTCAGACTAGGAGATCTTCTTCTCCACGCCCATCAGCATGGCCTCAGACCAAGAGGACTTCTTCTCAGTGCCCATCTATGTGGCCTCAGACCAGGAGACTTTCTCAGTGCCAGTTTGCATCCTTGTAGATCAGCAGAGCTTCTTCTCAGCGCCCATCTGCACGGCCTCAGAGCTCACCACCACCACCAGAGGGACACCGATACCCAGCCAGTTCCTGAGGAAAAGCTGGCCACTCCCCCTCAACTCCTTATTTTTTATCATCGAGCCTGACGTGATACAGCCTGGAGTATCTCTCATCAGATTGGGTCATCTGCCTGGTCACGTCCCCTCTCAACCTCTCGCACTACTCCCACCCATTCACGGGGGCAGCCGAGTGAGGAACAGGGAAGGCCTTGACCCCGTGCCAATGCTCTTCAGATCCATCGCGGCGTTACCAACGCAGACTCGGTCGCAAATCCTCAACTCTGCTGGGCTGCTCGGAAGAAAATCAGCTCCAGCCCAGCCAAAACCAGTACAGCCCTCGACGCGAGGCTGGGGACCAGCCCCGGCACTGGGAGAGGAGGCACAGCCCACCGGAGGCTGGGGACCAGCATTTATTGCGCGCACCAGGACATGAACACACGCATAACTTACAATCTCATAATTAAAACACCGATAATAATTTCAGTGTCGAATTTTAAGAGTGCTGGAAAACAGGAATTTCGTTCAGCCAGAGCAGCCACCATCGCAGGGAGGGGTTGGGCAGGCACAGTGGGACAAGCTCTCTCTGCAGGCAGTTCCCAGTGCGGTGAGAGGGGAGGGGGCCGCATCCAGCCGCGTGCCGGTCCCTCGTGGAGCGATCAGGCGGGGATTCCTGCAGGGACAGGAGAAGACAGCTTCACCCAGGGCC